GAGATAGATATTCAAGGAAAAATATAAATGTCGATACTTTATTAATATTATAGGTAGAAAATGATATTATAGGTTGTATAAATGTGCCGACACATTTTGGTGTGGCCATTCAAATTCTTTTGAAGAAAACCGTTTTACCCAAGAGTAGTTATCTATATTTGTATATTGAAAAGTGTATGTAACAAAATAATTTGATTTGCGTAAACTGATATATGAAGGAAAAATGGAGTCAATGGGTTGGAAAATTGTTGGTGGAGCAGATGACTTTGAAATTGAGGCCGAGACTCTAAAGCAACCAAAGGGTGGATATATGTACTTCTAGTAAGTATCAATGTCTTTTTGTTATTATTGTTGAAATGGTAATTGGATTAAAGTATCGATAAACTTTAAATTGATTACAAATTTTAAATGTTAACAGTATGGCCGAATGCAAAAGGATGAAGGGAGATGGCACACAGAGCGGTTCGGTATGTAAAATGAAATTGACATTGAGTAGTATTAGTATTTAGTGTTAATGTATTGATTAAGAAACGTTTATGTTTAATATTAGGTGAAAAAAGATGTGAGGTTCAAATGGAATTCAATGAGTGATGCTGAAAAGGAACCTTACATCACACAGTCAAGGAATGATAGTAAAGAATACAAAGAACGGAGGAAAGCACATGAAAATAAGGTATTCATTAAACTTGTAAATACGTTGATACAAAATATATAAGAACTATAACATTATATATTGTTAAAAAATGTAGGAAGTGTCGACAAGATGCAGCATTAAAAGGGTGAATTTATTAATTAAACACCTTAAGGAGAAGGGTCAGTTGAATGTGCTGGGAGAAATAGGTTTTGGATCGTTGATCGGAGTAAGGGATCGACCTATTCGGAGGGAATTGTGTCGATCCTTGATGGCACAATTTGACGTCAGTCAATGTATGGCTAAGTATTGTGATTATTCATTCCCTCTGGGGGTATCGACTGCTGCAGCCGTATTGGGGGTACAAAACAAAGGCAAAAGTGTTATAGAAGTCTGTAGGAGTAAGAACTGGAAAGCACTTGCCTCCAAATATGGTTTGAATCATAAGGTGACATATGCTGAAGTTGAAGAGGATATCAAAAGTGGATCTTACTGGGGGGATGAGCTGAAGGCCCGAGTTCTATTGTACCTTGTCGGGATATTTCTTTGTCCAACGGGTGATACGTCAACGAACAAGGAATATATGAAGCTCATTTGCGATGAAGGCTTGAAGGGTGAATTCAATTGGGCTGAATATCCATTCGAGATTGATTGAATCAATAATCACCTTTAAAAAGGGCAGCCAGAGATACCTCAAAGGGTGCATAGCAATCTTAGAGGTAAATGAGTTGAATCACTTTTTTGTGTTTTTATATAAAAATATAAATTTTATTATAAATGCAGGTTGCACTGTTCAATTTTTGGTCGGGCTGTGAGGCAGTGCCGGCTTATGAAAGAACCGGAGTGGCACGCATCCGTGCATGGGGGAAGGAAGAGGTGGTTAGAGTGATAGTGAAGTTGAAGTTGGATAGAGGGAAGAAGCAAGAAATGGTAATAAATGTAATTAAATAATATTAAGAATATAATCAATGTCTTAATATTGTAATTTAATTTTGAAGGTTATTGGCAAGGATGTAGATGAGGCAGTGGAGGCAGAGGAGAAGAAAGGAGGGATGGTTGTATTGGGGGATGACGGTGAGTGGGACGACGGTGAAGCAAAACAGAGTAACTTCGACATTTTGATGTCTGAATTGGCTGATATCAAAAAATTCCAATTTGAAATCATGCAAAGACAATCAAGAGTCGAAGAGAAACTTGATAAAGTCGTAGAGAAACTCGAGAGAGTCGAAGATACACTCGAGAGGCATAAGGGGGTAGTGGAAGGAAAAATAGATGGAGTGGTGAAAGAAGTAGAGGTGTTGAGGGGTGAAGTGGTGAAAGAAGTTGGGGTGTTAAGGGGTGATATTAAGATGGTGACGGGAGAAAAATTTGAGGGAGTGGTGAAGGAGGTTGTGGATTTGAGGAGTGAACTTACGGGGGTGAAGGGGGTGGTTGATAAATACTCGGATGAAGGAGCTCAATTGAAGGGTGAAATAAAAGAGATGAAGAGCTATGTAGAAAAAAAGTACGATGAACTGAAAAAATATGAAGAAGAAAAGAGGGAGGAGGAAGAATAAGAGATGGAAGAAATGAGGAGGAAGGAAGTCGATGTCATTTATACACCGGAGAGTGTTATAGCAGCAGTTTTGGATTCGGAATGTCCTGCACCCCAGAAGAAGAAGCAGAAGGTAAGTTTAATAAAAGAATACTTAATTTGATTTTTATTATGTTGTTGTGACAAAAATTTGTATGCAAAATTGTAGGTTGAAAAAGCGGATATTCCAAGCGGAATTGATGACATCGAAGCTGCAATTTGTGATTATTTATGGAATAGCGAGTTAGAATCGGGGTAAGTGAAATATATTGTTTTGTGAGTGATATTTAAATATTTCATGACAACATATTAATCCTAATGATTCATACAGATATTCTGTAATCTCAATGGGAAATCAATTCGCTACTGTATACGACGTTGCAACGTTGAAGCCTACGGAATGGGTTGGCGGTGTGGTAAGTAGAAAGTAGAAAATGTTAAAACTTATTGAATATGTTCTGATTGTGTAATTAATTTTGTTAGGTTATCGATTTGCTCGCCTGGACCATATGCTACGATTCTCAAAAGTCACTCCGGAGGATTGGCTACCTTCCATCAACTCACAACTCAGCTTTGAACTCAATCAATATTGTCTTTTAGCTTGATGGTTCATAAAGCATGTTACTTGAACAGTATGAATCAATTATGCAATTTTCATGTTCAATTTAACACTGCATTTCAAATTCATTTCATATGTAATTGGAGTTTGAATTTAAATTTCAATTTGAGTTTGAATTTCAATATATATTTCGGCTCCACTATAAATATTAGCCCAAGCCAATATGCATGTTATCATTGATTATTCCTAATTTCCATTGTTTTTTTTCCAACGTATAAACGCGAGGGAAATCCCGACCATTTTATTTTTTGGTTAACTTTAAAGCGTCAGAAACGTTTCGGGCGTATGATCTGGGTGGTATACAAGAAATGTAACAAATAGCAACTAAAATCATAAGTTGAGTACCACCCAAATCATAAGTCTGAAATACTTCCGATGCTCATCAAAATCCAAAGCTCATATGGTGCCAAGCAAAAGGAAATCAAAATCCAAATCTCATATGATGCTAAGCAAAAGGAAATCAAAATCTACAACTTGAGTTTGAACATTGATATGATATGTTCAATTGTTATCATGTTGGGATTTTCTCGTTTTTGATTGCTTGGATAGTTGTTCTCTTGCTTCTTCAAGTGTTCTTAAGGTTATCCTTTGAGTGAGTTTTAAGATATTAATTTAGTAATTATAGGCGTCTAATGATTTATTTTTTACGTTACGATATATATTATTATTAAATTAAAAATTCTAAATAATATTTTATAAAATATCAAAACAATCAAATAATTTTGTGTGTAAATGAAATTATTAAATTAATATTGTAGGTGGAAAACATGAAACACTGTTAAAAAAATTGAAACATAAATTACATAACTTTTAAAAAAAGTATCGATCCTTTTTATAAAAAGTATGAACACTTTCAATATAATAGGTAAACATATGATGTAATAGGTAGCCCTTATATAATGTAATAGGTATCGTTTATATAATGTAATAGGTAGTGGTTATATTGTAAAGTGTCTATCCTTTTTATAAAAGTGTCCATACTTTTTTCACTGTGGAAAACATTAATTTAAGGTTATCTTTTGAGTGAGTTTTAAGATATTAATTTAGTAATTATAGGCGTCTAATGATTTATTTTTTTCGTTACGATATATATTATTATTAAATTAAAAATTCTAAATATTATTTTATAAAATATCAAAACAATCAAATAATTTTTTGTGCAAATGAAATTATTAAATTAATATTGTAGGTGGAAAACATGAAACACTATTAAAAAAATTGAAACATAAATTACATAACTTTAAAAGAAGTATCGATCATTTTTATAAAAAGTATGGATACTTTCAATATAATATAATGTAATAGGTAAATTTGCAATGCTCACTGTGGAAAACATTAATTTAAGGTTATCTTTTGAGTGAGTTTTAAGATATTAATTTAGTAATTATAGACGTCTAATGATTTATTTTTTACGTTACGATATATATTATTATTAAATTAAAAATTCTAAATAATATTTTATAAAATATCAAAACAATCAAATAATTTTTTGTGCAAATGAAATTATTAAATTAATATTATAGGTGGAAAACATAAAACACTATTAAAAAAAATTGAAACATAAATTACATAACTTTAAAAGAAATATCGATCCTTTTTATAAAAAGTATGGACACTTTCAATATAATATAATATAATGTAATAGGTAAATTTGTAATGCTATCGGTATAAATATACCGGTTTACTTATAAAATAGGTAAATATAAGCGCTACCTATTACATTATATAAGCGCTACCTAGTATGTTATTGTACTTTATAATATTTCCGGTTAAATAATATAACATAACCGGTCTAAATTTTAACCGGTCACTTGTTTAACCGATCACGCCGTATATTAACCGTTTTTTAAGCGCCGCACCGCAGAACTACCCATAATATCATGTCTTCATTGGAAAATAAAAACTGCACATCAATATCACTGTTAAAAAAATTAAAGATGGGTGACTAAATCAGAATAAAAGTATTATATTAGGTACGATTTTAAAAATATAATAAAAAAAAGTCGGCTTCCCTTCGGCTTTATTACTTCAATAAAACGTACATGAATTCAGAGACACTTTAAAGTTTGATTCAACCCACCTCCGAATCCCACCGCTCTCCGATTAACGAGAGTTAACAGACAGCTTCTTCCATTGCTCATTGATCATTCATATTCGCCGGAATCTCATCCCTTCCACTGCCAGGGGGATTTGAAACTAAAGAAAAGGAATGATTCGAGCATAAATAGCTGTCACTCTCGTGATTCTTCTCAGTACAACTCCGCCGGCGACCGGCGTGAGGAGTACCGTTGAAAGGGTCCTTAGCCTGTTGAATGTGAAGAGTTTCGGAATTAAAGTTCTCACTTCTCAGAAATGAGCTGCAAAACGCTTGGTTTTTATACGTCCTACTTGGGGTCTGGAACGATGTCGTTTTTGCGGCTGAGGAAGGTACCAGATTCCTCAAAATCGCATATCCTCGATCCCAGCTTCGAAAAAGAAGATGAAAAGAAAAACCAATACAAGAGCTCCCAAAGACGAAGTTATAGCTATAAGAAAGGGTCGTGTTGGGACAATTGTTGTTGGTTCATTGGTGTCGTATGTTCCGTGTGGTGGTTCCTGTTGTTCTTATACAACGCAATGCCCGATTCAATCCCGCAATACGTGGCGATGGTGGTTACGGGGCCATTGCCGGACCCGCCCGGTGTCAAGTTGAGGAAAGAGGGCTTGATGGCGAACCACCCTGTGGTGCTCGTGCCTGGGATTGTAACTGGTGGGCTCAAGCTTTGGGAAGGGCGCCAGTGTGCTGAAGGGTTGATTGGGAAACGCCTTTGGGGTGGCTCGTTTGGAGAATTTTATAGAAGGTTTCGTTTTTCCCCCCTTCTTTTTAATTCTGGGTTTTGCCCTCCTTAGAAGAAATGCATGTCAGGAAAGTGTTTTTTCCATTTGTTTTTTTATATATATATAATCAATTAGCTTCTTCACTTTCTTTCTTTCTTATTGTTGTTTTAATAATAAAATGATAACCTTTTGTTTGTTGCAAATGCTTCTTCCTTTGCTTTCATATTTGTTTATGAGACATTAGAAAGGTAACTTTGGCTACTCTTACTGCAACTTGATCTCTGTCTAACTTGTTTACTCTGTTGGATCATATGTTGTTTAACTTTTGAAGTACTATTGGCTTCACTGGAGATGCTAAGAAGATTACAATAGTTGCTTACTTAATCTTTTGCATATGGTTGATGTATTGAGTTTACCTTTTAGATTGTTTTTGGTTACAAAATGGGAAGGCCTTTAGTTGTAATGGACAATTTTGTGTTTATCTTCTACATAACTGAAGAAAAGTTAAGTTGTTCATGGAGTTTACTAAAGTTCATACTCCAACTGTTCTCCCGATTTTGTTGCAGACCATTATGCTGGCTAGAGCACATATCACTAGATAACGAAACTGGATTCGACCCTCCTGGTATAAGGGTCAGGCCAGTATCTGGACTTGTGGCAGCTGATTATTTTGCAAGAGGTTATTTTGTTTGGGCTGTCATAATAGCTAATTTGGCTCATATTGGCTATGAGGAAAAATCATTGTATATGGCTGCTTACGATTGGAGGTTATCTTTTCAGAACACTGAGGTATGCACCTATTTTGAAAGTTCAGAATCCTCTCAAATTGATTCAACCAAATACATTTGTGCTTCTTCACATACATATAATTCAGATGTTTACATTTCATTATTCTTTGTTGCTTACGGTTTTAAATTAGCATTATGTTTACGAGTTCCTGGGATTATCTTATCGGTATTAGTCTATTTGAATAAATCAGGTCAGGGACCAATCTTTAACCAGAATAAAAAGTAACATTGAACTCTTGGTAGCTACACATGGTGGGAAAAAGGTAGTAGTTGTTCCGCATTCAATGGGAGTCCAGTACTTTCTGCACTTCATGAAATGGGTTGAAACACCAGCTCCTAGGGGTGGTGGAGGTGGATCAGATTGGTGTGCCAAGCACATAAAGGCAGTAATGAACGTCGGTGCGCCTTTTTTAGGTAGTCCAAAATCGATAGGACTGCATTTTTCTATTGAAGTCAGGGATATAGCAAATCTCAGGTACTTTTCTTTTTCATGGACAGACTTGTTTCTTCTTATCTTGGTGTGTGAATTGTCATATTTCTGCTGCAATTAGAGTAAACCAAAAGGTACAAAATTCTGATGCTGAAGATGACATTATGCTCTCAGAAATTCTGTTCCACATATAAAAATTTCCCACTTTCGTCTTTCCTCGTCATTATAGATCATGAGATGCAAATATGTCTTTGCGAGAAAGAGCTATAATGCTATTTTTTTTGGCATCGAGGTTACTGAAATAATGTTGTTTCAAACCTTAATTCATTAATAAATCTGACCTATCGAAAGGCTTCTATGCTGATAGTGAAATGATTATAATCAGTTTGTAGGAATCATTATAATCTGCAATATTAATCAATTTCTAAACAATTTAATGTCAGTTTCGGTTGTATATTTTGTTATAAACATTAGGAAGTTTTAGTTTCTTCTTCATTATATGATTATCAAAATTGGTGCTTTCATGCTATCAAGATTCAAGCGTGTTCTGCTCGTTAAACTATCAACATGTTTGCTCTCATTCTTGGGGAACTGAAAATAGTTTTTCAGACAAGGTGGATTGCATTTCTACTTTGTTTTGGGAGCTTGACGAAATGTTCATTGTTCAAACAGGGCTCAAGCACCAGTTTTTTTGGACAAAGATGTATTTGGTCTTCAAACTTTTAAGCATTTAATGCGAATGTTTCGAACTTGGGATGCTACCTTTTCAATGGTGCCCAAAGGTGGAGAAACAATCTGGGGTGGGTTTGATTGGTCACCTGAAATAGATACCTTTGACGTTAGTGTTAAAAATGGGAAGAACAATAGCAGTCATAATACAAGTCAAAACACAAAGAACAATGTGTGTAATACGAAAGGTGTGAATTATGGGAGACTTGTTTCATTCGGGAAAGAGTGGGCCGAGATGCATTCTTCCAAATTTGAGAGGGCTGATTTCAAGGTAATGTCCAAATTAATCACATCTTTACGATACATTAAAATGCAATTACGACAGGACGGCTATTATTAATTGTGCTAGTTGGTTTGCATGCTAGGAGATAACTGGTTCCTTAGAATTTGGAGTTTATATCTGATTAATGTTTGATCAGCAGAATGTTGCAAAGGATGATAAGGTTGCTAACTCAAGCAACTGTGACATATGGTTAGAGTATCATGAAATGGGCAATAAAGCTATCAAAGCTGTTGCGGATCACAAAGTTTACACCGCTGGATCAATTTTGGATATGCTTCATTATGTTGCCCCCAAGTTGATGGCACGGGGAGCTTCTCATTTTTCGTATGGGATAGCCGATGAATTGGATGATCCAAAGTACGGACATTACAAATATTGGTCCAACCCCTTAGAAACAAAGTGAGTTTCTTCAACTTCTCATTTCTAATTGAATTTTTATATTTTCTTTGAAGTGTAGTAATTGGCTTTTCTAGTGTTCTGGATCAAATCTAAACTGTTCTCTGACAAATACCGGATGTTTCTTCAGGCTACCAAATGCTCCAGACATGGAAATCTACTCATTGTATGGAGTTGGACTTTCCACCGAAAGAGGTTATATCTACAAAGTAGTGACTCCCAGTGATTGCAATATTCCGTTTCAGATCGACACCTCGGTTGATGGTGATAGTGAAGATTCATGTCTAAAAGGTGGTGTTCTGTCCGGTGATGGAGACGAAACAGTTCCTGTTATAAGTGCAGGGTTCATGTGTGCGAAAGGTTGGCGGGGTAAAACCAGGTTCAATCCCTCAGGAATTCGTACGTACATACGGGAGTACAAACATGCCCCTCCGGCTAATCTCCTAGAAGGTCGAGGCACTCAAAGTGGTTCTCATGTTGATTTGTTGGGGAACTTCGCTTTGATCGAGGATGTTCTCCGAGTTGCAGCAGGGGCTTCTGGTGAAGAAATCGGTGGAGATAATGTTTATACCAATATATTCAAGTTGTCCGAAAGGATCAACATACAGCTCTAGATTCTGAACTGAAGAGATAAGCTCTTCAATTGTGGCTTATCTGTTTTATGATGAGTCATGCTAGCCTTTTTGCAGTCATTCGTTCAGTGATTGCAATGATCTTCTTTCACTTCTCCTTGGGGTTTACTTGATGAGCTATCCATGGTCGGTGGTAGTGGTCCACGCAGAGGTATTCGGGATGTTGATTAAGTTGAAGAAAAAAGGTATTTGCAAACGTTGTATTATCCCTTTGTGTTGAATAACCAAAAGAGCGCCGAATTATGGTCCATGAAAATGGCATCCCACGTTAGGATATGCCAGCCCCAGGCTCCTTCAAATGCTAGGGGCACTTGCCCCGAAATCTTGAGATAAAACATTCTATTAATTGATTACTCTAATAAATCTCTTCGTCTATGCTTGCATTTGCATATAACATGCATTCATACACCGGGGGAGATGCATTCACACTCATATAGATCAACAATAACCAAAACGAGAGGAGTATAACTATCGCACATTGTTTCTGGAACATGAACAATAAGGTTGAGAAGTTTTTCATCTACCAGATGAAAAGCAAAGGAGTTGCTTCTTTCATATAAGGTTGTTTACATGAGATTTTACAGTTTCAAATTCGGTGTTCCAAATAACACTAAAAAATTTATAATAAACTCGTAACCATAACCCTGCTAATTTCCTACAGTCATAAACCTTAAAAATATAAAATATAATCCTTTAATTTATAAAAAATCTAGACCGTTGAATTTTGATTGGGGAAAAAATCATTAGAAACGTCTGACAAATAAAACCGTCCACTTAGATTGTCATTTATGTAGGGATATGCATGGGTCGAATCGGATTTTCGAATCATTTGATCCGACCTGAAAAATTATAAATCCTTCACCGTACTTGAATTCGACCCGAAAAGTATACACCTTCCACCCAGCTTGATTTTAAGAGATAAAATATGAATTCGACCCGATCCAAAATAATATATTTATTAAAAAAATATCGTTTTCATTCAATAAAAATATAGATTTAATTGAAAGAAAATAATATATAGAGGGGTATTATTATATTATTACTAAATATATAAGGTAAAATTATAATTTTTTTAGTCGAATATTTTTCACCTGAAATATGAACCTAACCTGACCCGAACTCAATTTTTTTTAAAAATCCAACCCAATTGTATCAGATCGAGTCCAAACATGTCAAGTTCGAGTCTTATGCCTATCTTTACACGAAATATGACAAAGAGACTTCCAACAAAGCATGTCTTTGGTAAAGTAGAAGTTTCGTTGACAAAATGCTCCTTTGTCTTATATAGTTAAAATAAATGTCATTTCTCTAAATAATTTTTTCAGTTATTTTCATAATTAATTATATAAAAAGTGTTATTTACCTAAATTTATCTATAAATAATAAATATTTATTTTAAGTATATTAAAAATAGTTGGAATACAAAAAAAACTTAGGGTGTACTATACAAATAGTTACAAATATTTGAGTAATTTTCATTTTTTCCACTAAAATTTTAAAAGTAAATTTATCATTATATTAATTTGTAATAAATTAATCACTAACATATGTTAACAAAGATGACCGAATGTTAATATGGCACGTTAAATATGTGCATGGCACCATTTTCCACATAAGACAGCCACTTTACTTTTCCTTTGATTCCCCCAAAACTTTATACCCTCAACCTCTTTTCTTTCCATTTCTCCTTCTAAAACTCCTCATTCCATTACGAGTGATTATTGAGCGAGAATATCGCGAGTTGGACAACGCTCGTTAAAAAATTTTGTTGCTCGACCTGACTCGTTAATTACGTTAAAATTTTGCTCGATTTGTGCTCATTAAAAAAAATTTGTTGTTCGACTCGTTGCTCGTTAAACTCATCAAAGTTTTAATCGACTCATGCTCATTAAGGAAATTTGTTAGTTGACTTGTTGCTCGTTAAGCTCATCGCTTATCTCATTGCTTGTTAAGCTCGCTGGATTTTTTATTTTACTTTTTTAACTATAAGTAAAATTTACTAATACTATATAGAACTTAATATAAACATAAATTAAAAAATTTAACAAAAAAATTATCAAAATAGTGTATGAAACAAATTTAAATTCTAAACACCAAAATAGCAATACATAAATACATTAAAATAATAATTAGGTTTTTATTTTTGGGTGTAGTAAAACAAAAAATTTTTAAATTAAAAATTTAGTATTTTTAGTTATTTATTAGAAAATTAATAGATTACAAATTTATCATTTTTTATTATTTATTAGTAAATCAATAATTTTTTAATGAAACAATTTTTTTAAGATAACTACTAAAAAGTTATAAAAAAACGAGTTGCTTGTGAACTTATCAAATTGAGTTGGACTTTGCTCAACTCATCTCGTTATGGTCTCGAGTCGAGCAGTGGCGGAGCCACATATATTTAAGGGGGCGCACGTGTCCACCCTGAAATTCAAATTTTCTTTTGTATTAGTTTCTTATTTTATTGATAATGTCCACCCTAAAGTTTTATTTGTGCCTACCCTAATATTTTAATTGTGGCCGCCCATTCGAAAAATGTGTTATTAGCCTATGCGTGCCCACCATAAAAATATTTCTGAATTCGTCACTGGAGTTGAACTCGAGATCGAGTCGAATCGAGTCAACCCGAGTCGAGTTCGAGTTACTTACGGAATGTTGAACTCATTAATCGCTCCTACTTGCCATCTTCAAATCTTTTCAACTTTTGACGATCATTTTGGGTGATTTCTTCTGAATCATGGAACCCTTCTCTTGACACCACATATTTCTCCTTGCATGTGAGGCGTTTTTGTAGAACAAACAATATCCAATAGAGAAAATCGCCTCAGTGACAAAAAAAAAAGTTATAATATACGATTTTAACCAACTTTTTTTGGATTTGCCAAAATGACCAACAAAATCGCAACGCGAAATAAAAATCGCAACGCGATCCCCAGAATCGCAAATCAGTTTCCAAAATCGCAACGCGATTCTTGAAAATCGCAATGCGATAGTACAAATTCGCATTGCGATTTTCCAAAATCGCAACGCGAATATGAAAATCGCAACGCGAACACATAAATCGCAACGCGTATCCGTAAATCGCAACGTGTATCCGTATATCGCAACGCGTATCCGTAAATCGCAACGATAATACATAAAATCGCAACGCGTATCCGTAAATCGCAACGCGATATTTAAAGCGCCATTATAATCGCTACGCGTATTTTATTTTCAAATTACAAAAAACGAATATTAAGACAAAATCCCGTAATCGCAACTCATAACCTAAAACCTAAAATCACAACTCAGTCCCATCTCCATCTCTCACTCTCTACGGCGAAGAAATCCGTCCACATCTCCGAAGATTTCCGTCCCCATCTCCGGCGAAATCCCTCACAACCATTCACGGTCAGAAATCCCTCACAATATTCAGAAATGGAAAATCAACCTCCGAGGGTTAGTTTTTTTAATTATTTTTATTTTGAAATGTTTGCATTATTGTAGGTTTTTCATATTGAAACTGATGATAAGTTTACTGGTCATTTCAATAATAGATTAACCATTTCACTTAGATTTCATTTCGCGTTACGATTCTGTCGTTGCGATTTTCATTTCGCGTTGCTATTCTCTCGTTGCGATTTTCAAGTTAGTATTTATCTTTGTCTTTGTTCTGTCTTTTGGTTGAAGTAATGCAATCCATTCAAGTTTCAATTTGCAGAAGAGTCGCAACGAGATAAATGAAAATCGCAACGAGAGAATGACTGTCGCAACGAGAGAAATGAAAATCGCAACGAGAGAATCGCAACGCGAAATGAAAATCGCAACGAGAGAATCGCAACGCGAAACCAAAATCGCATTGCGATTTTTATTTCGCGTTGCGATTTTCATTTCGCGTTGCGATTCTCTCGTTGCGATTTTCATTTCAACCAAAAGACAAAACAGTGTTGCAAATTTTAGTTTCAAGAATAAACTACTACTTTTTATGTTTATTGTTTTTGGTATATCTTCACAGTGTAGTTTTTGGTATATCTAACTTGGTATGTTTATTGTTTTTGTAGAAATTTTTTTCGGCTCAATTGACCTTGAGAAATAAAGTCAGCCTGGCCACTACAATTGCTTCGAAGCTTTCACCTGCTCAAAGACAATTGTTTGAGGAAACCTGCTTCGGGCCATGGCTGAGAGTACAGCATCCGAGTGGAGATGCTAATTTGACCCATTTGTGGCTTCAGACCATGACATCAAATCTACCCGACAGTATACAACGTGGTGAGGAAGAGATATGGTTTCATTTTCCACCAGCGTATACTTGTTTTGGGCGGAAGGAGTTCTGCTTAATCACTGGTCTACGATTCGGACACGATGATGTAGGCCGGTACACTCGTCATATCGCCCGCCCATCATGGTTATCCCGGGTTTTTCCGGATGAGTCAATGGAGAAGCCGAACCTACATGTCGACGACCTGAAGAAATTGTTTAATAAGAAAGCTGGTTTCACTCGGATGGATGACGTCGATGTTGTCCGAGTATGCCTTCTACTACTTGTGTATGCCGGCTTTTTAGGCAGAGAGGCCAGACAACCTATTCATCGGGAGCTAATAATATTGGTAGAGGACCTGAATGCATGGAATCTGTTTCCGTGGGGTTCGTATATATGGAAAGCTACCTGGACTAAGTTGTCGTCTGCCTTTGATGACCGCAAAAGTTTGCGGGGCGATGGGTCCAAATACACTTTGTCAGGCTTTGTTTGGGCCTTTAAGGTAAGAATTTCTATATAATGTTTCTAAAATTATAATTAATTATTTAACAATTACTAATTTTGTTATTATATTGTTTGTAGATTTGGATATTCGAGGCTTTCCCCAGCATGCGTACATATGCAATAAAAACGTCAAATGATATTCCCAGGGCTATTTCCTGGAAGAGGAAAACTCTGTTGGATTGGGAAGACTTAATACCATATGCGACAATAAATAATGTAAGTTAACACAAATACTTTCATATAATATATAAACAAGTTATTAATAGTAGACGTTTAACTTTGTTTGAGTTTTTATATTTTAGGAGGCCAACATTCCATTACAAAGACTGACACCCACGGAGGAAGAGCTTGCCACTGATTGGTGGCAAACTAGTCAGAGTTTTTTTGATGGCACGGATGATGAGCAGCATCCACTTCCTCCAATTCGAGAGCCATCACCTCACCTAGAGCCATCACCCGATCGACCCGACTATACACCTCTAGAACGAGAGCCATCACCTATCCCGTCACATCATCGAGCCTCTTCTCCACC